CTTAAAGAGAGCCAAATCAAGAATGTACTGCCATTCACAATTGCTACAAAAAGAATAAAATACCTAGGAATGTAACTTACAAGGAACGTAAGGGACCTCTTCAAGGAAAACTACAAACCGAAATCAGAGAGGACACAAACAGATGGAGAAACATTCCATGTTCGTGGTTAGGAAGAATAAATATCATGAAAATGGCTATACTGCCTGAAGTAATTTACAGAATCAATGCTATCTCCATCAAGCTACCATTGACTTTCTCCACAGAACTGGAAAAAACCATCTTGAACTTCATAAGGAACCAAAAGAGAGCCCGCATAGCCAAGCCAATTCTAAGCAAAAAGAACACACTACCGGACTTCAAACTATACTACAAGGCTACAGTAATCAAAACAGCATAGTATTGGTACCAAAACAGATATATAGACCAATGGAACAGAACTGAGGCATCGGAGGCAACACAACTTATTTACAACCATACAATATTTGATAAACCTGACAAAAACAAGCAACCAGGAAAGGATTCCCTGTTTAATAAATGGTGTTGGGAAAACTGGCTAGCCATGTGCAGAAAGCAGCAACTGGACCCTTTCCTGACACCTCACACTAAAATTAACTCCAGATGGATTAAAGACTTAAACATAAGACCTGGCACCATAAAAACCCTAGAAGAAAATCTAGGCAAAACCATTCAGGACATAGGAGTAGGCAAGGACTTCATGAACAAAACACCAAAAGCATTGGCAACAAAAGCCAAAATAGACAAATGGGACCTACTCAAACTCCACAGCGTCTGACGGCAAAAGAAACAGTCACTAGAGTGAATCGGCAACCAACAGAATGGGAAAAAATTTTTGCAGTCTACCCATCTGACAAAGGGCTGATATCCAGAATTTACAAGGAACTCAAACAGATTTACAGGAAAAAAACAAACAAGCCCATTCAAAAACGGGCAAAGGAAATGAACAGACACTTTACAAAAGAAGACACACATGAGGCCAACAAACATATGAAAAAATCCTCATCATCACTGGTCATTAGAGAGATGCAAATCAAAGCCACATTGAGATACAACCTCACGCCAGTTAGAATGGCGATCATTAAAAAATCTGGAGACAACAGATGCTGGAGAGGATATGGAGAAATAGGAGCACTTTTACACTGCTGGTGGGAGTGTAAATTAGTTCAACCATTGTGGAAGACAGTGTGGCGATTCCTTAAGGCCTTAGAAATAGAAATTCCATTTGACCCAGCAATCCCATTACTGGGTATATATCGAAAGGACTATAAATCAGTCTACTATAAGGACACATGCACATGAATGTTCATTGCAGCACTGTTTACAATAGCAAAGACCTGGAACCAACCCAAATGCCCATCGATGATATACTGGACTGGGAAAATGTGGCACATATACACCATGGAATATTATGCAGCAATCAAAAATGATGAGTTCGTGTCGTTTGTAGGGACATGGATGAATCTGGAGAGCATCATTCTCAGCAAACTGACACAAGAACAGAAAATGAAATACCACATATTCTCACTTATAGGCGGGTGATGAAAAATGAGGACACATGGACACAGGGAAGGGAGTACTACCCACTGGGGTCTATTGCGGGGAATAGGGGAAGGACAGCTGTGTGAGGGGGAGCTGGGGAGGGATAGCCTGGGGAGAAATGCCAAATGTGGGTGAAGGGGAGGAAGGCAGCAAAACACACCACCATGTGTGTACCTATGCAACCATCTTGCATGTTCTGCACATGTACCCCAAAACCTAAAATGCAATAAAAAAAATAAAAATAATAATAAAAAAGAAAGTAACTCTGGAGTCAGCTGGGCTACAGGGGAGCTTATCTAAGTCCTGAGAGAGGCCAGACCCAGCTGGAGCTTACTGTCAGCTAGCTGAGGCAGCTGCCGCCGCTGGCCTTAGGTGCCCCACACCAGCACAACATTCGTGGGAGGAGAGTGCATCTTGCTGGGGGTTCCCATAATCCCTTTTGGCTGCAAACCCCAGAAACCTCTCAGTAGCCTCCCCTCCTGTCCCATCTGCTTGTCCCAAGACCAGCAGGGGCAGGGAACTGGGATGAACTGAGCCCATGACTGTGTGGAGTAAGGTGACCCCCTGCACAAGACTGGGTTCCTTTGTGAAGGGAGGAGGGAGTGTGTTGGGGTGAGGGGCAGAGCAGGAGAATGGTCATGGGGCAACACCCAGTGACAGCTGCAACGAGTGCATGACATCTCACAGGGAGGCAGGGAGGCACAAGCCACTAAGCATGGAGCAAAAAACACTTCTGCACAGTGGGGAGAAAAATGTGACTTTTGTGATTTTTTTACATTTATGTTTCTAATTCCTTTTTTTATGATTTTGTTTTTTTTTCTTTATTATACTTTAGATTCTGGGGTACATGTACAGATCATGCAAGATTGTTGCATAGGTACATTCACAGCAAGGTGGTTTGCTGCTTCCAACCCCCCATCACCCATATTGGACATTTCTCCCCACGTTATCCCTTCCCACCCTCCCTTCCACTATCTCTCCCTTAGCTAACCCCTTGGACCCCAGTGTTTGATGCTCCCCTCTCTGTGTCCACGTGTTCTCATTGTTGAATAACTGCCTATTAGTGAGAACATGTGTTTGATTTTCTGTTCTTGTGTCAGTTTGCTGAGAATGATGGTTTCCAGGTTCATCCATGTTCCTACAAAGGACACAAACTCATTGTTTTTTATAGCTGCATAGTATTCATGGTGTATATATGCCACATTTTCTTTGTCTAGTCTATCATTGATGGGCATTTGGGTTGGTTCCAGGTCTTTGCTATTGCAAACAGTGCCACAGTGAGCATGCATGTGCATGTGTCTTTATAATAGGACAATTTATAGTCCTTTGGGTATATACCCAGTAATGGAATTACTGGGTCAAATGGAATTTCTATTTCTAGATCCTTGAGGAATTGCCACACTGTCTTCCACAATGGTTGAACTAATTTACACTCACACCAACAGTGTAAAAGTGTTCCTATTTCTCTACATCCTCTCCAGATTTTTTAATGACTGCCATTCTAACTGGCGTGAGATGGTGTCTCAGTGTGGTTTTGATTTGCATTTCCTTAATGACCAGTGATGATGAGCATTTTTTCATATTTTTGTTGGCTTCATGTATGTCTTCTTTTGTAAAGTGTCTGTTCATATCCTTTGCCCACGTTTGGAGGGTTTCTTTGTTTTTTTTTCTTATAAATCTGTTTTAGTTTTTTGTAGATTCTGAATATTAGCCCTTTGTCAGATGGGTTGATTGCAAATTTTCTTCCCATTCTGTTGGTTGCCAGTTTGCTCTAAGGATTGTTTCTTTTGCTCTACAGAAGCTCTGGAGTTTAATTAGGTTCCATCTGTTTATTTTGGCTGTTGTTGCCATTGCTTTTGGTGTTTAAGTCATGAAGTCCTTGCCTATGCCTATGTCCTGAATGGCTTTGCCTAGGTTTTATTCTAGGGTTTTTATGGTATTAGGTCTTATGTTTAAGACCTTAATCTATCTGGAGTTAATTTTACCATAAGGTGGCCGGAAGGGGTCCAGTTTCTGCTTTCTGCACATTGCTAGCCAAAGATAGAGCTTCAAAAGTGCTAAGCAATACACCATATAAGCCATGACCATATTAATAATGAAGCTTCTGGCATAATTTCAGCTTTTGGAGTCTTTTACACACCTCTTGTTAAGCTTTGAAATTAAGTGGGAAAACATTACCAGGGTTTGTTTTTTAGCTACATAATTGTGTAATCTACCAGTTTTTACTAGAATGTAGTAAGCCAGCATTTTTCTCTGGGTAATCAGTTTCTGTTGACCATTCGTTCCAAAGTTGTTCTTCAAGCTACATGCATTTCCAAATTCAAAGTGAATGGAAATGCTTGACCGGGCATGGTGGCTTAACACCTGTAATTCCTGCACTTTGGCCAAGGTGGGTGGATCACTTGAGGTTAGAAGTTTGAGACCAGCCTGGCCAACATAGTGAAACCGCTTCTCTACCAAAAATTACAAAAAGCCAGGCATGGTGGCAGGCACCTGTAATCCCAGTTACTCTGGAGGCTGAGGCAGAGAGTTGCTTGAACCTGGGAGGCAGAGGTTGCAGTGAGCTGAGATGGAGCCACTGTACTTCAGCCTGGGTGACAGAGCAAGATTCTTGTCAAAAAAAAAACAAAACAAAACAAAAAAAAAACCAACAAAAAACAAAGTTACTGCAAATGCTAGATGTTTGCATTCTGCCATAAAATGCCTCAGATATAAATGCCTTATCCAATTGTGTTTGTCAAAAGACTGTGATAGACAAAATATGCCATCACCTTGCTGGCTTCTTTTCCCCCCAGAATCCCAACTAAAGTGCTAGATTGAGGACAGCTGGTCTTGCCCACTGCCAGGAAGAGTGCATGGCTTCCCACAGTGTCCATTACCATTTGGGGTTCAGTGGAATTCTATAGAAATCGGTTGTTTTTCTGATTTTCCACTATTGGTCAGCTGTTCTTGTATTTTTTTTTTTTTTTTTTTGAGACAGAGTTTCGCTGTTGTTACCCAGACTGGAGTGCAATGGCATGATCTTGGCTCACCACAACCTCCGCCTCTGGGGTGCAAGCAATTCTTCTGCCTCAGCCTCCCAAGTAGCTGGGACTACAGGCGCGCACCACCATGCCCAGCTAATTTTTGCATTTTTAGTAGACACGGGGTTTCACCTGTTGACCAGGATGGTCTCGATCTCTTGACCTCGTGATCCACCCGCCTCAGCCTCCCAAAGTGCTGGAATTATAGGCGTGAGCCTCCGCGCCCAGCCTGTTCTTGTATTTTATCTTATACGTAGTCACACCTACACTTCCATAAACGAGAGTTTCTATTCTGATATTTGGTCAGTCTTAGCGTCATTTGGCTACAAACTGGTGCCTTCCTCTAACTGCATCCCGTGCGGCTCAATCCACAGCTGGTTGAACAGAGGTACAGCCTGGCAGTGTGACAACCCTAGGTGATGCTTTTCTGTCAAAGGACACCAAGAAGACACTGGCTACTAACACTGTCACAGCAGGGAGGTGCAGTGTCAACAGGGCTCAAAGGCTGGAGGCGTCATAAAGGGCGGGTGTGCCACGGGGGAGGAACTGAGGGGAATGGCTGTCCTTGTGACCAGCCACCTGGATTCTGTTACCTGACGTTGTCTGGAGGAGAAGCAAACCGTCTAACAGGAGGCAGCGATGCAAGTTGTAGGAAGGTGCCCACCGAATTGTGGCTTGCACAGGCAACAGAGCCCTGGCGCGAGGGCTGGCTGGGGACAGCGAAGCGAGGGACGCAGCTTTGTGGCCCCGCGTGCCTGCCAGTGTCGTCCCGGAGGCGGGGCCGCGCTCTAAACCCACAGGGCTGGGCGGGGCTGAAGATAGGTTTCCAGACCAATGTGAGGGGCTGCTCCCAGCAGGCGGTTTGGCCCCGGCAGCAGCTTAGCATCTGGGCCACACCACGCGGGCTCCCAGCGCTGTCCACCGCCCCTCCAGGAACGCGCTGGCCTCTTCTGCTGCGTGTGGAAACAAGGGAAACCCGGCCTCAAAGACTCTCATGGGAGAACACTTGCCAGGTCCTCTAGACGCCCCCACGCCTCACGTTTTCTCAGACAGGGTGTTCTGTCTCTCAGGCTGGCGAGCAATGGCTCAGTCATGGGTCAATGCAGTCTCGATGTCTCTCAAGCCATTCTCTCCTCTCAGACTCCCAGGTAGCTGGGACTACAGGCGCGCCACCTAGCCTGACTAATTTTTTTAAACTTTTTTTTTTTTTCGGTCTAGAGACGGGGATCACTCTATTGTCCAGGCTGGTCTCAAACTCCCAGACTCAAGTGATCCTCTGGCCTCAGCCTCTCAAAGTGCTGGGATTGCAGGGGTGAGCCACTGCTCCGGCCCTTTAGACTTTTGGCCTCCGTGCCACCCCTCCGGAATGCCCACCCCTAATCAGCCTTCTCTCTCTCCTCCAGCTAATGGCCAGGACACGGCCCCCTCCAACACCTCCTGCCCCTCCGCTGTTGAACTTCACACCCAAGTTTATGTCACTGCTCCGTGCCCAGGACCTCGGATGGCACCAGCTGACAGTGGCATCCCATCTCTACAATTTGAGGTTTCACCCATATTCACAAAGGACCAGGGGGTGCAGGACCTCCAACCCAGGCATCCATGTAGGTGAAGGCTCCCCTCTTCCTCTATCCACCGCTGGGGAACCCTGGTCGTTCATTTGGCTACAAACTGGTGCCTCCCTTTTACATGTGTGCCTATGTGTATGCTTGTGTATACACAAGCACAAGCATACACATAGGCACACATGTAAAAGCGCACACATACACACACACCCAAGCACGCATGCACACATTTACAGAAATACAAGCAAACATGCAAAGCATACAGATAGCACACACAACCACACACATCCAAGTGCACATACACCTAAGCACACATACAAGCACACACACAAACACATGCACAAGCATACGTGCTCAAGTGCACAGAAACACAAGCACATATGCACAAGCATGCACAGGCATAAGCACACACACAGCACACATGTACAAATGCACACGCACAACTGGACACAAGCACACACACAAACATGCACGAGTAGACAAGCACAAGTGCACACATGCAAGTACACAGATGCGAGCATACACATACGTGCACACACACAAGCACACATGCACAAGCACACATACACAAGCACAAGCACTCACACAAGCCCACAAGCACAAGCACTCACACAAGCCCACATGCACAAACGCACACACACAAGCCCACATGCATGCACAGAGACCTTCAAGGCGCTCCACTTAAAAGGAAGTCAGTCCGACTTCCTGCCTAGGTCCTGCAGCTAGAGCAGCAGAATATGCCCCAGGAGACTGCCCTTTCTGCTTCCCGGGCCTCTGGGCTCTCTGACAGTCCTGGGCCAAGCCTTATTATCCCTTAGTGTGGAGCCCAGTGCAAGTGCCGTCACTCACTGGAGGGAGCCCGGCCTCTGCACCTGTGTCTGCCAATAGAAGGGCCTTGTTCGCTGGTGGCTTTAGTGTGTGCACTTTTCCTCCATACCTGTAGGAAGAGCTGAGGCTTGACCAAGCCTTCCCTGTTTGTTTTGAGCACTGGTGAAGAGCAGGCCAAAGGGCCTGAGGCCCCATGTTGGCAGCTGCCTTGGGACTAGCAGGCACGCTTTGCAGGACGGGTCCAGTAGGTATAAAGATCGTTTGCACTCTTGGTCTTCTCTGTCATTCTTGAGAGAGCAGGCCATGACTAACCCAGGGACGGTCTATTCAGCCACGAGTTTGGGCCACAGACCCTGATTTGGAGCAAAGGGGGTTGCATGCAGATGGCCTGGGCAGAGGACATAGGCAGCCTTTGCTGATGGGTTTCTGGGCCCTGGGTCCTGTCCACCTCTGGTCATATGTGGATGTGGGTGAAGCCCCAAACTGTAGGGATGGAATGTAACTGCCAACAGGGGCAATCAGGTCCTGGGCAGGGGCTGTGACAGAGGCTCCTGTGTGAGATGTTAGACAGCAGTGGGGCAGGAGGTGATGGAGGGGCCGTGCACAGGCCATCTGTAAGAGGAGAGAGAGAGAGGCAGCTGGCAGTGGGTGTTCAGTAGGGGTGGCCACGGAGGCAAAAGCCTAGAGGCCCCCTACTCCCAGATGGCCTCCTAGCCAAGTCTTCTGAGGACCCCATTAACACCAACAGCCAGGAGTGAAAACAGTATGTAGGCTCTTCAAAAAATTAAAACTAGAACTGTGATATGATCCAGCTGTGCCACCACTAAGTATATATCCAAAGAATATGGAATTAGCATTTTGAAGAGTTATCTACACTCCTGTGTTCATTGCAGCATTATTCATAAGAGCCAAATTATGGAGTCAACCTAAGTGTTCATGAATAAATGAATGAATCAAGAAAATGTGGTATATATTCACAATGGAACACTATTCAGCCTTACAAAAAAGAAACGGAATCCTGTCACCTGGAAGACAATTAAGTACAATAAACCAGGTACAGAAAGACAAATACCACATGGCCTTACTTATGTAGAATCCAAAAAAGGAATTCACAGGAGCAGAGAGTAGAATGGAGATTGTCAGTGGAGGATGGGTTGACTGGGGAGATGTTGGTCAAAGGATACAAAAGTCCAGTTAGACAGGAGGTGTGAGTTCAAGAGCTGTGTTGTGCAACCTGGTGACTAGAGTTAACAACAATGTGTTATTTGAGAATTGCTGAGACAGCAGATTTTAAATGTTCTTTCCACAGCAATAAAAGTTTGTTAAGTGAGGATTGTGTGAATTAGTTGAACTTAGGCATTCTACAATGTATCCATATATTCAAATATCATATTGTACACATACATATATACAATTTTTGTCAATTAATAAAACCTCGATAATAGCACACCACTATGATATTGACTATTGAAGGTTATATTTTGAACATTTTCTAATAGCAACATTGTATGTTTTCTTCATACTTTATGTTACTTTATTCTGTTTACTGGGTTCTTATGAAATAATGCAACAAAAACAAAACACACCAACCTCTTTGTACATTTCTGGTAACACACCTACATAGTAAGTAATGTGGCCTTGCCCAAAGAGAGGTCTGGCCTCTTCCCTTGACTTCAGGGAGGTAAACCATGTCTTACCTGACAGAGTGTCCTTGTGTAGGGTGGGGCTGGTCACACTGGATCTAATGGTGAGGCTGCCCACACCTAACAGTCTCAGGGTGTGGGCTGATTATGCCAGAAATACCGATCATGTGATCTAGAGTAAGGGCTTTGGTCCCTTGACATGAGTTTGTGTACCTGATGACCGACTTCACTCATGAGAAATGATCAGTCAGTCAGTCAGTCACGTCTACATAAGAAAGTGCCGTTAAAAAATCTCTGGACAGCAGAGTGTGGGTGGGCTTCCCTGGCTGGCAACACTCCCAGTGTGTTGTGCATTCATGCAGGGAGGCTGACACATCTGGAGGACAGTGGAAGCTGCATTTGTAAATCTCCCAGACTCAGCCCTGTGGGTCTCCTCTTTTGGCTTATATGAGTTTGTATCCTTGCCCTGTAATAAACTATAACTGTGAGTATAATAGTTTCCACCGAGTTCTGTAGGTCCTTCTGTGAATTACTGTATCTGACAGTGCTTTCGTGAACTCCCCGAGCTTGCAGAGGCAGTCTCAGGGAATGTGCCACGAGACTTTGCAGTTTGGCTAATTCTGGGGAATACTCAGCAGCCAGTCTCCTGGCATACTAGTATTCTACACTACGCATCAGCATTAATCCATATGCAGTTAGACTTAGCTGCAAATTTTTGAAACATAATTAAAACACTTATGTGGTAAAATAAATACCAGCAGCTCTATGCATTGAGTCCTAACTAAATGCTAGGTACTGGACAAGTATTATTTGTTTGGTTTATCACACCAACCTGCGAAATACGTAGTTATGCCTAATTCTAAGGAAGAAGAGAAATAAAAAACTGAAAAAAAAAAAAAACAAAAAACCAACAAACCCCAGTTGATTAGAATGCTACCCATACACTATTGGGAGAGCGTTATTTAACAGAATAGACATGGTGACTATGCTGTAATACATAGATATGTTTAAAAGTTGTTTCTTTCTTTTTTTTTTTTTTTGAGATGGAGTTTCGCTCTTGTTACCCAGGCTGGAGTGCAATGGCGCAATCTCGGCTCATCGCAACCTCCGCCTCCTGGGTTCAGGCAATTCTCCTGCCTCAGCCTCCTGAGTAGCTGGGACTACAGGCGCATACCACCATGCCCAGCTAATTTTTTTACTTTTAGTAGAGACGGGGTTTCACCATGTTGACCAGGATGGTCTCGATCTCTTGATCTCGTAATCCACCTGCCTTGGCCTCCCAAAGTGCTGGGATTACTGGCGTGGGCCACTGAGCCCAGCCTAAAAGCTATTTCTTAGAATGCTTTCTATACACTCTGTTGGGAATAGTTTTATTTCGGAGACTGGATATGGTGTTGACACAGTAATGCATGTAGTGTAAAGACATGTTTAAAGATGTTTCTTAGAAAGCTATGTATGCACTATGTTGATCAGTGTTAATTCCAGGAATGGATGTGGTAAGCACTCTGTAATGCATGTAGTGTTAAAAGACATGCGTTTACAGGTATTTCGAAGATGGCTACACATACACTATGTTGTGTGTAGTCTTCTTACAGAGAGCAGGTATGAATGCATGAAGTGGATGTGGAGACATTCATTTCACAGCTCTTTGTCATCATGCTTCTCATACACTATGTGGAGAACAGTGTTTCTTCGGGGAACGGATGGGCTAAAAGACACTTGTTTAAAAGATATTTCTTAGAAGGCTACTTGTACACTATGTCGCATATAGTGTTGTTTCAAAGAATGGATGTGATGACCACAAAATGCCTAGAGCGAGGTGCTAAAGACACATGTTTTAAAGCTGCTTCAGGGTATTCTACATACACACTATGGTAAGAGCAATGTTTTGGCAGTGATGTGATGACCTTATTGTAATGCACTTAAGGAATGCTTAAAGACAGAGGTATTACAGGTTGGGTGCGATGGCTCATGCCTGTAATCTCAGCACTTTGGGAGGCTGAGGTGGACAGATCACCTGAGGTCAGGAATTTGAGACTAGCCTGACCAACATGGCAAAAACCCGTCTCTACTAAAAAATGCAAAATTTAGCCAGGTGTGGTGGCACATGCCTATAATCCCAGCTACTTGGGAGGCTGAGGCAGGAGAATTGCTTGAACCTGGGAGGCAGAGGTTGCAGTGAGCTGAGATTGTGCCACTGCCCTCCAACCTCTGGAAAACAAGAGCTAAACTTCATCTCAAAAAAAAAAAAAAAAAACACCAAAAACATAGTTACTACAGATGTCTCTTGAACGTTACTTGTACATTATACTGAGAACAGTGCTATTTCAGAAAATGGCTGTGGTCACCACACTCCCTGAAACTAAAACGACTAGATGAGCACATTGGGGAAGATCTCTGTGGCACTGGTCTGGGCGATAGTGTTTTGGATATGATCCCCCAAAGTACAGAAAACAAAAACAAAATTAAGACAAATGGATTACATCAAACCAAAGGGTTCTGCACAGCAAAGAAAACAGAGTGATGAGATAGCCTAAGGAATGGGAGAGAGTTTCAAATGACTGAACAGGAGCTAATATCCCAAAATACCTCATGATTTATACCAGCATCCAGGCAACTGGCAGGTTAATATGATGACTTACAATAGGATGGAATCTTAGAACCTGTATACTCAGGGACAGTGTTGCAAACGAGGCTAGGATGCTGAGATGGGCCTGGTAAGAGGACCTGTGAATTCTCTTGGCCAAGGGGCGAGCGAGGTGGGGATGAGGGCCCTGCACTGTTCTGTCTGTGAATGTGGCTGACGAGTGAGTGAGGCAGGATTGAAACAAGCAGCCTAAGGGCTTTGCTTGTTCATATTTCTCCTGCAAGGAAAAAGCGGCAAGTCCTCAAAGCTGACACTGAGCCTTGAATAAATCTAAAGCAGTAGATGTTGGCATGTTTGAGCTGTGAGTGGCCAAGAGGCTGCTAGAAACTAAAGGGAAATGTGCTTTGTCAGTGGCGTTCTTACCAGCATGGAGGTGCCCATTCCCTCTCCACTCCCTAATCACCCCTCCACCAGTATCCAACTTCAAGCACCTTGGAAGATTAAGCTAAGTATGAATGGGCATTTGAAAGAGGGGAATAACACGTTGGACACAGGCACACAGCTAACTATCCTGTGTGGTCCCCTGTGGTGCAGGGGGAGCTCTAGGTGCAGGGTGGGTGGAAGTGCTGAAGACTGTAGGGTCTAGAATGATTGCCAATGGGCAGAAAAAAGTGAGTTCTGGATCCTGGGTGCTCTCCAAATGCTGCGATGCACACAAGAGAGAAAGCAGCACAACGCTTAGAGAAGTATCCCACTACCCAAACCCTCTCCCCACGCCAGCCCCTTCTGGCCCCTTGTGCCCCTGCGCCCCTGTGCCGGGGATGGTGCAATCTTAAGTTAGCCCCCGACTCAGACAGGTGTGAATCACCATGGTCTGTGCTTACCGAGCTAATGCTAAGGGTGCTTCATGGCTCTCTGCAGTAAATAAAAGATTTGTTTGGGTGACATATGACCAATGAGAGTTCTGTAAATATGGGTTTTAATGAACATTATGTGGCAATGAAGGCTCTTGTATTGTAGAAGCACATATTCAATGAATTCTAAGCACACTCTCAATAGTATTTATTTTATTCTTAGGTCATTTTTGCAAAATAGGCAAAGCCAAGCCACATTCTTCTGTGTTGACTGATGGTGGGAAGAGGTGGAGTGCATTGGTCATCAGGGGAAGAGAGGAAACCAGTGTGGACGGATGGCACTTCACTCACCCAGCTCTGTCCTCCTTCTCTGACTGGCGCTCTACAAAGCTCAGTAGGGTGCGGTTTCATAGCCTGGGACCCAAGAATCCGGGAATTATATGAGGACCCAGCCCAGGTGCATTTTGGGAGGCACCTGTGAGGATCTGGAGAATACAGAAGACAGATACACTGTTTACTAAGGGCACAGCATGCCAAGTCCTGTGGTAACAGCAGGTTACAGGCTCCAGGTGACTTCTTCTTTGGGCTAACTCAACGATGGAGGAACTTATTATTCTATTTTACACGAAGAAACTGCCACTTGGATGGAATAAATAAATAGACAGGATTGCATGGCTGACAAGTGGTAAACTGATACCTCAAAGACAGGCCTTCTGATTGTACTTCAGGTGAGCTAGGCAACCTCTTACCAGCTCTCTATTAAAAGGCCAGAGGCAGCAGAGGGTGTCATTTGAGCCTCTGATGAACAGGAGAAAACCCCAAATGTTGCTACTCATGAGGATGAGGTTAAGATTGTTACAACATTTGTTGGGACACCTGTTTTTAACTTTTTTTTTACTTCACTGAGAAGGAGGGAGACACCCATTTTTATCTTAATGCAGCCCATGCAAGTTCTTGTAAGACTTACATGGGTTTGCTATGACGCAGTGGCTCGCGCCTATAATCCCAACATTTTGGGAGGCTGAGGTTGGTGGATCACCTGAAGTCAGGAGTTCGAGACCAGCCTGGTTTTGTTTCTACTAAAAATACAAACCCCTTCTCTACTAAAAATACAAAAATAGCCAGGTGTGGTGTCAGGCTAGAAACTAAAGTGAAATGTGCTTTGTCAGTGGCTTTTTTACCAGCATGGAGGTGCCCATTCCCTCTCCACTCCGGAAGTGGAGCTACATAATCCCAGCTACTCCGGAGGATGAGGCAGGAGAATTGTTTGAACCCTGGGGTGGAGGTTGCGATTAGCTGAGATTGCGCCATTGCCTGGGCAAAAAGATTAAAATGCCATCTAAAAAAAAAAGACTTACATGGTTTTGAATCTATCTCTTGGGTAAGACTTCATGTGGAATATATTTTACCTCAAAAAGCATTTGTTCAGCCACTGATAACTCTATGCAGCTCTGTAAAATATGTAATCATTAGACAGATTAGGTGTTTCATCTAAGAATGAGATGGGTAATTGTGTTTGTAATAAAATATATTTAATCAATGTCTCATTATGAATATTTAATAACTAGTAACCACTTGAATACATGTCTTTGGCCAGAATATTTACATATATATGTACCTACACTCTATAATACCTATTATATATCCACTTTATATATATATATATATTTTTTTTATTGCATTTTAGGTTTTGGGGTACATGTGAAGAACATGCAAGATAGTTGCATAGGTACACACGTGGCAGTGTGATTTGCTGCCTTCCTCCCCTTCACTTATATCTGGCATTTCTCCCCATGCTATCTCTCCCCAACTCCCCACCCCTTGCTGTCCCTTCACTATTCCCCCACAACAGACCCCGTTGTGTAATGCTCCCCTCCCTGTGTCCATGTGTTCTCATTGTTCAACACCCGCCTATGAGTGAGAACATGCAGTATTTCATTTTCTGGTCTTGTGTCAGTTTGCTGAGAATGATGGTCTCCAGGTTCATCCATGTCCCTACAAAGGACACAAACTCATCATTTTTGATTGCTGCATAATATTCCATGGTGTATATATGCCACATTTTCCCTGTCCAGTCTATCATCGATGGGCATTTGGGTTGGTTCCAGGTCTTTGCTATTGTAAACAGTGCTGCAATGAACATTCGTGTACATGTGTCCTTATAGTAGAACAATTTATACTCCTTTGGATATATACCCATCAACTTTATATTATATTACAATAGAGCTGCACCTTCTGTGGCTGTCATAGGCTTTGTTACCCACCAGCTCCAAGGTGTCAGCCATCAGATCCTCAACAGTGGCAGTGAGGAAATCAGGCATGCATGGGCTCAGCCACTGGGCACAGTGGATCTCCCCCAGGAGGGGTCCACAGGGCTCGGGGGAATGACAGTTCTGCTCCTGCTGAGAGGGTGCCAGGCAGCTTCCTAAGCCAATAGGAGCTCCAAAGTTTCCTTTTTCTAGACATGAGGTTTGGAGAGTGCTGTGGGTTGGATATGATTTGTCTCCAGCAGAACTCATGTTGAGCTGGGTGTGGTGGCTCATGCCTATAATCCCAGCACTTTGGGAGGCTGAGGTGAGGGGATCACTTGAGGTCAGGAGTTCGAGACTAGCCTGGACAATACGGCAAAACCCCATCTCTACTAAATATACAAAAATTAACCCAGCATGATGGTGCAAACCCAGCTACTCAGGAGGCTGAGGCAGGAGAATCGCTTGAACCTAGGAGGTGGAGGTTGCAGTGAGCCAAGATTGTGCCACTGCATTCCAGCCTGGGCGGCAGAGCAAGACTCCATCTCAGAAAAACAAAAACCCAAAATCTCAAGCGAAATTTGATGCCAATGTGGCAAGGTTGGGAGGTGGGGCCTAGTGGGAGATTTTAGGTCACAGGTGTGGACCATCATAAAGAATGCCCTCTTCTGGGGGTGAGCTCTCATTCTCATTATTTTCTGCAAGAACAGGTTGTTAGAAAGAGTCTGGCTCTCTTGGTTTCTCTCTTGATTCCCCTCTTGCTGTGTGATCTCTTTGCACACATCCACTCCCCTTCCACTTTCCACCATGAGTGGAGGCAGCATGAGGCTGCTTCTCCAGAAGGTGAGCAGATGCCAGCCCCATGCCTCCTGTACTTCCCAGCCAGCAGAACCCTTAGCTAAATAAACCTCTTTTCTTTATAGATTATCCATTCTTAGATTGTGTGATAGCATCAAAAAAGGATGAAGACAGGGAGCTTTGCTCCAATTGGCCCAGCTTGATCCTGCACCTGGCCTGGGCCTCTCCAGATGCCAGTGCTCAGTCCCACCACTGTGCTCCTGTGGGCTAGCCCATTGATGTTCAGGGAGCAGTCTTTGTGACATCCTAGACTTTGAGGTGTCGTTGGTGTCCACTTGGCATAGAAGTGTCCATGATAAGACCCTGGTCACCCTAGTGATCAAACCTAATTTTTCATTTGACTTTTTATTGTAGAAAGAAATTTGTTATTGCTGGTTATGGTGGCTCATGCCTGCAATCCCAGCACTTTGGGAGGCTGAGGCAGTTGGATCACTTGAGCTCAGGAGTTTGAGATCAGCCTGGGGAACATGGCAAAACCCCATCACTAGCAAAAATACAAAAAATTAGCTGAGTGTGGTGGCATGCATCTGTGGTCACAGCTACTTGGGAGGCTGAGGTGGAGGGATTGCTTGAGCCCAGGAGGTGGAGGTTGCAGTGAGCTGAGATTGCACCACTGTACTCCAGCCTGGGTGACAAAGTGAGACCCTATCGCGAAAAAAAAAAAAAAAAAAAAGAAACATGTGTTCTTCAGTGGAAAGCCTTAACCTGTTTAGAAGATACCATGATGCCAGGTTATCTGACTCTAGCCTGCACTCTTTTTGAGTGTTTTTGCAACTCCTTATAAGTTTTAGGTCACTGATAGACACACACAATGTCTTCTCCAGTCAAGGGCCAATTTTCTCTCCTCTCATATAATAAGAAAATGAGCTTTCTTCCCATTTCTGTATTCATTTAAATACACCTGGTCAATATTCCTCTAGCTGTTTGTTAGATTCTTTTTTTCTACTAGTTATCATATCTGCTAATCTCTTACAAGTTAAATAAAATATTTTAACATGTGTTTTTATCTTTATGAGTGCCAGACTTAATTATTTAAAAAATATATTTTAAGCATTTTTAAAGTCACACCAATATGTCCAATTTTCAACTACTAGGACCAGATAAATTTCTATGACAGAAAGGTACATCAAATGCATAATTGAAGCCTGAACATGTATTTTCTTGGCTCTCCTGAGTGACTGCAAAGCATCAGTGGAAATTTGTTGACTCTGCTTTTTTCATTTCCGTTTTCCATTCTGTTAATTTCGTGTTGATGGGTATTTTGCCACATTTATAGCTGAAAAGCTATGTCTACTTTTGGCACAGTGGATTGGAATTTCATTCTTTTTATTAAGATAAAATTCATGTAACATATAACATATTAATTATGTTAGAATTTACAACTCAGTGCTTTTTGTTGTGTTCACAAGATTTTACACTCATCATTATGTAATTCCAGGACTGTATAACACCCCCAAAAGAAACCCCATACCCATTAAATGCTCACTTCCTATGACTCCCTCTCACTCCCCAAGGCCCTGGCAACCACTAACCCACTTTCTGTTCCTATGGATTTGCTGATTCTGGCCATTTTATACAAATAGATTAATAAAGTGTCTGGCTTTGATGTCTGCCTTTTGTCATCGATCACATTTTCAATAGCTGTCTGCCTAGCGGCACATAGCAGTGCTTCATTCCATTGTATGGCTAATAGTCCATTGTATGACTATTCCTCGGCTATGTATCTAGTCCTCCATTGATGGACATTTGAGTGGTTTCCACTTTTTGACTGTAATCAGTAGTCCTCCTGTGAACAGCACATCAAATCTTTGTGTGGGCATATGTTTTCATTTCTGTTGGGTATATCTTCAGGAGTGGAATTGCTGGGCCATATGATAACCCTATGTTAACATTGGGAGAAACTTCCAAAATGTTTTCCAAAATGATTGCCTCATTTCACCATCCCACCAGCACTGCATGGGGTTCTAGTTTCCCCATGTTTTCACCCACACTTATCTGTCTTCTGAACTATATTCATGCTAACAGGAGTGAAGTGGGTTTTGAGAATGTTTTCTGTGCTCATTACCCTCTTGTATCAGTTATTTCTTTTTTTTTTGAGACAGAGTCTCATTCTGTCACCAGGCACCAGGTTGGAGTGTAGTGGCACAATCTTGGCTCACTGCAACCTCTGCCTCCCAGGTTCAAGCAATTCTCCTGCCTCAGCCTCCCGAGTAGTTGGGACTACAGGTGCACGGCGCCATGCTCAGCTAATTTTTGTATTTTTAGTAGAGATAAGGTTTCACCATTTTGGCCAGGAGTGTCTGAATCTCTTGTCCTAGTGATCTGCCCACCTCAGCCTCCCAAAGTGCTGGGATTACAGGCGTGAGCCACCGCGCCCGGCCCATTTATTTCTTTATCCTGATCTGTTGTCATCACTAATAATTGAAATGTTCTCACTCAGAGTATTTGTCCTAAGTTAATTTACATATGAAAGACATTTAAAAGGGCATAAAATTATTTTGTTGTCTCATTTACTTGCAATGTACTGGATGATAGACTTGATTTTCCTATTAGCATATTCTGTATTTCTGAAATAAGCCATCTATCATTATTTTGTATACTTAGCTAGTAATTTCCTTCAAAATTCCTAATGCATCCTAGCCTATTTTACAAGTTTCGGTATACACTATGTGAAAAGACCTAACCTACGTTTGATAGGTGTACCAGAAGGGGACGAAGAGAATGAATCCAAGCTGGAAAATATTCTTAAGGACATCATCCAGGAAAATGTCCCCCACCTAGCAAGACAGGCCAACACTCAAATACAGGAAATACAGAGAACACCACAAAGATATTCCGCAAGAAGAGCAACCCCAAGGCACATAATCGTCAGATTCAACAAGGTTGAAATGAAGGAGAGAATACTAAGGGCAGCCAGAGAGAAAGGTCGGGTCATCCACAAAGGGAAGCCCATCAGACTCACAGCAGATCTCTCGGCAGAAACACTACAAGCCAGAAGAGAGTGGGGGCCAATATTCAACATTCTTAAAGAAAAGAACTTTCAACCCAGAATTTCATATCCAGCCAAACTGAGCTTCAGAAGTGAAGGAAAAATAAAATCCTTTGCGAACAAGCAAGTACTCAGAGATTTTGTCACCACCAGGCCTGCTTTACAAGAGCTCCTAAAAGAGGCACTACACATAGAAAGGATCAATCAGTACCAGCCATTCCAAAATCACACTGAATGCTAAAGAGCTTCAACATAATGAAGAATCTACAACAACTAACAGGCAAAACAGCCACTTAGCATCAAAATGGCAGTATCAAATTCACACATAACAATATTAACCCTAAAGGTAAATGGACTAAATGCACCAATCAAAAGACACAGACTGGCAAATTGGATAAAAAGCCAAAACCCATCAGTGTGCTGTATCCAGGAAACCCATCTCACATGCAAGGATACACAAAGGCTCAAAATAAAGGGATGGAGGAAGATTTACCAAGCTAATGGAAAGCAAAAAAAAGCAGGAGTTGCAATTCTCATCTCTGATAAAATAGACTTTAAAGCAACAAAGATCAAAAGAGACAAAGAAGGCCATTACATAATGGTAAAAGGATCGATACAACAAGAAGAGCTAACGATCCTAAACATATATGGACCCAACACAGGAGCACCCAGATACATAAGGCAAGTTCTTAATGACTTACAGAAGGACTTAGACTCCCACACAATAATAGTGGGAGACTTTAACACTCCACTGTCAATACTAGACAGATCAACCAGACAGAAAATCAACAAGGATACCCAGGGCTTGAACTCAGACCTGGAGCAAGCAAACCTGGTGGACATTTACAGAACTCTCCACCCCAAATCCACAGAATACACATTCTTCTCAGCACCACATCACACCTACTCTAAAATGGACCACATAATTGGAAGTAAAGCACTACTCAACAAATGCAAAACAACTGAAATCATAACAAACAGCCTCTCAGACCATCGTGCAATCAAGTTAGAACTCAGAATTCAGAAACCGACCCAGAACCGCACAGCTTCATGGAAACTGAACAACTGGCTCTTGAATGTTGACTGGGTAAACAACAAAATGAAGGCAGAAATAAAGAAGTTCTTCGAAACCAATGAGAACGAAGACACAACATGCCAGAACCTCTGGGACACATTTAAAGCAGTCTCTAGAGGAAAGTATATAGCAATAAGTGCCCATATGAGGAGAATGGAGAGATCCAAAATTGACACCCTATCGTCAAAATTGAAAGAGCTAGAGGAGCAAGATCAAAAAAACTCAAAACCCAGCAGAAGACAAGAAATTACTAAGATCAGAGCTGAGCTGAAGGAGATTGAGACACGAAAAACCCTTCAAAAAATCAATAAATCCAAGAGCTGGTTTTTTGAAAAGATCAACAAAATAGACAGACCACTAGCCAGATTGATGAAAAAGAAAAGAGAGAACAACCAAATAGATGCAATAAAAAATGATAAAGGGGAAATCACCACAGATTCCACAGAAATTCAAACCATCATCAGAGAATATTACAAACAACTCTGTGCCCATAAACTAGTAAACCTGGAAGAAATGGATAAATTCCTGGACTCCTGTGTCCTCCCAAGCCTAAACCAGGAGGAAGCTGAAACTATGAATAGACCAATAACAAGGTCTGAAGTTGAGGCAGCAATTAAGAGCCTACCTCACAAAAAAAGCCCAGGTCCAGATGGGTTCACAGCCGAATTCTACCAGACACACAAGGAGGAGCTGGTACCATTCCTTCTAAAACTATTTCAAACAATCCAAAAAGAGGGAATCCTTCCCAAATCATATTATGAGACCAACATCATCCTGATACCAAAACCCGGCAGAGACCCAACGAGAAAAGAAAACTTCAGGCCAATATCCATGATGAACATAGATGCAAAAATCTTCAATAAAATATTGGCAAGCCGATTGCAACAGCAAATCAAAAAACTTATTCATCATGATCAAGTAGGATTCATCCCAGGGATGCAAGGCTGGTTCAACATACGCAAGTCTATCAACGTAATTCACCACATAAACAGAACCAAAAACAAAAACCACATGATTATCTCAATTGACGCAGAGAAGGCATTTGACAAAATTCAACAGCCCTTTATGCTAAAAACCCTCAATAAACTCGGTATCAGTGGAACGTATCTCAAAGTAATAAAAGCTATTTATGACAAACCAACAGCCA